GAGACTCATTCTACGCAACATTGCGCTCTCGTCCGGCTTTAAGGGTCGCAATTAAGCAGAATTTATTTCATACGCTCAAAGTAACGTAATGGCTGGTTGGTTACAGGTTCAGCAAAGGAAAAATTGCAATATGATGTGTGTAGAATATAAGATCTGAACTAAGCGCAAACCTAAGAGCTTGGGATGACACAGAGTCTTTTGACAATCATAAAGCTAATTGCTATGTGGGTTAAAATCATTGAAAACCTAGTCAATTGTCTTATAATAGGTTTCAATTTAAATAGTATTCTTATCTAAATGAAAAAGCTATAATGTTTCTGCTATACTGTAAATAGTCAAGTCTTAAAGTATTCTAAACTTAAGGAAACCTTTTTTACGAAGACGTTCTAAGTACAATTTTTTCTAGACTATGTTTGAATCTACTATAAAGCAATACGGTACAAAAATCAATAACAATCGTAGCTCTTTATAAATCATTGTAAAGGTCTTTAACACCCAACATTCAAACATTTAAACGTTGTGCTGTTCAAGTTCAATCGTCGCTATAAACTGACACCTCTGACACTCACAGAGAACTCTATGAACTTGGTCTGACATGCAGGTTTCCAATGGGTTTTTGGCTTTTGGGCAAGTGTCTGATGCCAAGACGGCGACCCCTGCACGTCACTCCATGTCCGTGAATCAAGTACACGAGCCTGGTGTCAGTTGGTCCGCGTAACACTTTAATTAAAAATCTGGAACGAGGCGAAAATTAAAAAGTTATGAATGCCACTGCCACTGCTCCGTCGCACACAAACACACACAAAAGTGTCGAGGAGGCGGAAGTAGACATCCCTCCGAGTGCTGGAGGGGCAAAGGGTTTTGGCGCTTCGATGACTTCTTATTAGACAGAAGTGAATTGAAATGCGAATGAAAAAGAGAACCGAGTACTTTCACCGACGCCCCACTTATATAAGACATCAAGCGACGGCTTCTTGCCAAGAAAATATGGAGATGGCGAAAGGAAAAGCGGAAAATAGAGCAAGAGTTAGCAGGAAGGAAGCGAAAGCGATAGCACATAAATGTTTTCCCTGCGCGGAAAAAACACTGTGAATAATATTGAAATTGAATCGAAATCGAAAGAGAGTAATAAACGAAAATAAACATTTACTGGCACTCGCTGTTGCGATAATCAATACTATTTCCGGTTCTGGCCGGAATTCTCTCCTACACTATATACATAACATACATATGTATGCAATATATCCGCGAATTCAATTCGATTTCGGTATCTTCCTCAATATGTTCGTGTCTGTGCGAACGCTCCGCATTTGTGGAAAATTATTTTATTGACAAATTTGCATGGCAATGGTGTCGAAATTTTACGAACCTTGTCTTTATTGAAACACTCAAATAACGAATATGCGTCGAAGTTGCTTGAGGTGGGAATATAAAATAAAATTTAATTTATTTCTGCATTGTAAAATATAAATGATCTTATAAAATATGCATGTTGATAATATATTCAGTAGTTACCTTGGGAAAACACGGTCACTGCTGACCAAAAATTAAGCAACAAAAGCGGACATAAAGCGACACAAGAAAAACTCAATCCGCTACAAAAGTCAACTTGAAATAAATTTAATTTTTAATTTCAATCTGAGTTCAACCCGCTCGTCAGCACTACACAAAAGCAAGCGGTTTCGGTGGCGGGTAAAGTCCTTTCCCAGTTCATCCCATGTGCCAGCCCTTTGCCAACGCGTATCCTTTCCACTGCTGCGTAGACAACTTCCAGTGCCGCAGCTGCCACTTTGTGTGTCTGTGTGCAAGTGGGAGGTCCCTCGTCCTTTCAGGACCCTTTGACTGCTTGTGCGTCAAATGTGCATGCGGGAGACGAGGGATTGTGCACACATCGCGCAAAAGGGTAAACCATAACACAAATGACTTAATCACAACAATTTCGGTATTTGCGCCACTGCACTTGCTTACATATGTCTGCACATTTTGTGAAACCTAAAAAACTCATGGTGTAAGTGTACACTTTTAAGCCCTTTTAGGACACTACAATTTTTACCGGAAGTTTTAAACGCATCACTTTATGTTTTTTAAACCAATCTACATACCTTAATTTCTACTCATGAGTGCCAGAGATAACTTAGTTTCTCTTACCGTTTCTCATTTTCAAGAAATTTGTTTATATAAAAACATCACGTTAGTATTTCCTCTCAGTGTATGCTTCTTGATGAATGAATAAATAAAGCTGTGCTCGGAGCCCGGTTCATTTATGGATGTGTTTTTACCTTTTGGCTGGTGGAAATCCTCCCATCCGCCTCCCAGTGGATATGACGCTGCGCCAGCTTGTCTGACGCGGAATGGCAGTCTTCTGATGCAATGTCTCCTGTGGCCAGGAGCTCTCGATTTGCGTAACCCGGGCACATGTTGAGTCATCAGGTGTGTGGGCTCGGGTTCCCAACACGCCGCCGCAAAACAATTGCGGGGCCTTTTAAGTATAATGGCATAAGGCCGTACGCCCTGAGACTGTAATTACCGAACTTGCATAACTTAGCAGGGCCGTTTGTGTTGATCTCGGCCCACTTCGGGGCCCTTGGCCAACGCCTACAATATGGCACTGGGGTCTTATTATTGTTATTATTTTGCAATATTTATTATCGATTTTCATTGCTCCTGTGCCGAGGGCGTTGCGACCTTCGTCCTTCGTGAATGGGGGAGCAGCATTAATGACTATCATCTAAACTCATATATTTCCTGGCCCAGTTTAATTTGCCGTCTGCATGCGTAATATCTTTAAACAAGCTAACAACATGCGTGTGTTGACCTTTTTGCTTACCAATGGTCAATATGCAAATGGGCTGTGCAAATTAAATGGCGGCTGGGCAAATGTGTCAATTAGTAACAAAAAACCTAATTGGCTTTGTTGTTGGTCTGTGACGGCTTAAAAGCTTTTCACAGAGCTGAATGCATTTCATAGAGCCTAAACAGCTATCTATTCAGATTTATGATAGATGAAAGATATATTTTATATTTGTTAAATGCATTTTTGAGAGTAAGCTTACTAAAAGTTTCCTTAAATCTTACAAGTAGCCTTTCCAGCATTTCAGCTTTAATTGAAACAATTTTTAGCTCGATTTTAATACTTTTAACTTCTATATTTATGTTTATTCTTATATTCTAAGTAATTTAAAAGTGCTTTGTTACACTTTATCCAGTTTAAGCAAAGGGTTCTTTATTTTACTTGTTTTTGCAATACCTTTTTACCAACTAAGGAATGCCTTCTGGTAAATGTTAGGTACATAGGATAAAAAATGCGATATCCGATAGCAGCGCTCGGAAATCTTTAAATCGCAAAGGAAACCAATTTAAACAAGCTCGTCAGCTTGTTTGTGTTTCGAACACGAGAGTCTGCTCCCATTGCTGGCCATTTTGTTAGTGCCAAAAATAGGAAAATAAAATGCAGAGCCAAGCAACACGTCAGCGTCAGCACATTTGGCCCAACTTTCGACTTTGGCGGAAAATGTATCGCGATGTTGGTTGCTAGTAGTATGTTATATACTACCTGGCAGCTGGCATTGTGTCGGCCCGTATATATTCCGTATATTTTTCGCCTTTTTAGCTACCATTTTGCTTTTGGGGCGTTGCCGTGGTTGAGTTTTAATTAGCCTTGAGTGCGTGCTGGGCTGAGCCAAAAGCCGTACAAATTGTTATATAAACACATACACACGCCCAACAAACTGTTTTAAGGGCCTAAAACATTGTCGCCACCAAATGAAGTTGGCCAGCATGAAACTACGCAGGTCACAGGGAAAATAGTTGCCCAAGGTGTAGTGCAGGAAAAACCCCGACAGTGGAGTGGAGCACCGAGCACCGTGCGGTGAAAAGTGTTGAAATGGCAGCGGAAATGAAATTAGGGGAAGTGGAGAAAGTTGCTTGGAGGACCTCAGAAGCCTTTGCGATTTATACTCGCAAATGCAAACGAAGTTGCCATACGAAATTCTAAGGTTACAAGTTGTCAGAAAAACTACAATTTATGGTCGAAAGGCTCAAGGAACTTAAAGTTACACATTTGGTTTTGTTTGGTGTGCTTTAAAAAACTAAACCCTTTATTAATATCTTTGAAATTAATACCAAATTTGTAATTGATCGATGTTATGCGTCGAAAGTTAGTGGAAAGTTAGCGGAAATTTTCATCCCCTTTCAGAGTGAAAACGCAAAATTTAAGAACCTCAGGGACTGCATGTATCCCACAAATATTATTTTATTATTGTGTTCTTGTTGTTTAAGATTATACATATATTGGATTTGAGACCAGGACATTTATTTTTCCTCAGTATGTAAAATTTAAAAAGGAGAGAAGATAATTAATAGTATTTTATGGAATGACCGTATATAAATCCATATACCGAGATCTTGGTAAACCTAAACATCAAGGATATAAATACTTTATAAGTTCGAAAGAGTAAAATTCCCTATTCCATAACTCACATTGGGACTAAAACGACCTTTTCCAAGGTAAAAACTAACGCAAAAGTGCCTCCCATTCTAATTTTGTATTCGTTTGTTTTCTCTATTTTAATTTGCATGTCTACGTCAAAATGACATGCTAGCATACGAATGAAAGTTAAATATTAACAAAACAAAGAAAGGGAAAAGGAATTCATTGTGTTTTTTAAATATATTATGACATTAGACAAATAGGTTAAAGGAAGGAAAAAAATTGTGTATATCCCAGGGTCCCTTGCATTCATTATTACATTTTTCGTTCTCTGTTTTCAGAGTTACGTTTCATAAAGTATACTATTTAGTTTAAAATAAGATGTTTAGCTTTAAACCCCTTATGTACTTATAGTTATTTGAATTCGGGATAGTGATTTCAGAGATAAACTGATTCCATTCAATGCCAATTGCCGATGAGAACTTTGCAATTCTGGTGTTTATTTTATAAGGTTAATATATTATACTTATATGCCTAATCCATTCTTCTTTTACAGCGTTAGCAAATAAATTGTAATATTTGAGTGTTATCGATATGCATTAATCTTAAGTCAGTTTACGCATAATATGTTGTTCACATGTTCCTTGCAGTAAATCCGTCTTTTAAGCTAAGTTTAGATAAATCCGAAATCTATTCGAGAATGATGTGCAATGGGCCAGTAAAAACGAGGGCTAAAACGCATTTCGACCAGGAGGAAAGCCAGATTGAGAGGCAGATGTAGTGAAGGGAAGGAAATGATAACCTGATTAAGTCGATGGATGTATGATAGCCAGTAAAAGAGTACAGAGTAGGTCGTCACAGAGTATATTTAGCAAAATAGTTCACTTGCGTAACAAGGGAGCTGGATGAAATAGCCAGGGGGCAAAAACAAATTATAGAAATAATATTAAGTGAATGTTTATATATATAGACGTGTGTGTGCTTCGAATTTAGGCGCTTTTTGATAACCGAAATGGAAATTATTAGCTAGGTATTCGACAAAAAATATGCAATGCAATTCAGAAACAACAACACGGCTTAAGCAGAACGTGCGTATATTTCAACAAAGTATTCCGATTATATTGCCATACTACCACTAAGATACCAGCACAGCTCCAGCTAAAACTAGAAACATGTCGATCGATGGATACACACAGACAATACGCCCAAATGTATGCAATTTGATTGTGGAGATATAATATTTTTTAAATGTTTATAAGCAGAGATTGAAGTATTTGTAAAGCATTGTATTTTAATAGACACCGAAAACAAAAGACAACAAGAATCAAAGCAAAACTCTAGACAGCGATACAAATTTTTTGAAATATATTTTTTTATATACGAATAGGAAGAGTTGAACACTGCGAATATGCACGGAACATATAACTCTCAGATAACCCTAGCCTAAGTTAAACCTGTAACGAACCCTTCAGTTGGAAATTGACAGTTTACTTTCGATGGTTTCACGACAGTTATTTTGAGCCGTTTTTTATGCGTATGCCGTTCGGTTGAAGCTTAAGCAAGTAATCCAAAGTACAATCATTTATGTCAAACAGGACACCACAACCAACAAACACACCAGAAATTGGCTGGACAATTCTGAGCTACAGATACAAGGGGGCACTGTCACAGAGTAATTTTTACAGGGACAGCATATAAACCGAGAATCCGCAGGAGTTTTTGCTAAGAGTTTTTTAAATTCGTTTTACACCAGCTCCAACATATTGCTAGTGGACTGCAGGACTGGAAGAAGGTCCACATACAGACAGTTCTTGATCGCTAGAAGCGAGTGACAGAAAGAACGATCACTATATCACACTGTTCAGTAGGCTTAGCGAGTCAGGTCCTCCAGTCAGCTTAGGCCCACGCACACATCCCGCACCCCGAATGTAACCCCTGAGGCCCCTAGGCTTAGTTTCCAACTAGAGTAAAGCTCCCCCGATCCCCGTGTCCCCAAACCGACCACCACCACCAAGATGTATGCAGCTGCTGGTGGCGCCTCGCTGGCCTCCCGCCAGGCGCGCCAGCGACAGCGACAGCAGAAGAAGAACCAACAACTACAGGCGAAACTACATCCACCGAAGGCCGCCGGGCTCGGTCTCGTGTCCGGCGATCATGCCGGGGCCGAGGGCGCCTCCACGCCCACCCGCGGCCAGTCGCGCCAGTTCCACCAGCTGCCGACGAACTACCTGCGGGCGCCACAGCCGCATGGCCGCAAGCTGAGCGCCACCTACACGACGCAATCGAAACTCCTACTGCCAATCGACGAGGGCGACACCCAGTCGGTGCTGCAGCTGCGCATGCACTCCCACTCGCACGCTCACGCCCACTCGCACTCCCATGGACCCGCCCACGCCCACGCCCACGGGCAGGCCCAGGCGCCGTACCAGACGCCCTACCAACAGTTCGCCTCCTCCCACGGACGCGTCTCACCGAAGCTGGTGCACCGGCACTCCGGCACCGGCAGCACTGCCGGCTTCCAGCCGGTCTTTGCGGCCGGACAGTTGCACAAGTCCGCCACGGCAACCCTGCCGCTGCACATGCAAATGGAAGCGGATGCGGAAATAGGAGCCGGAACGGAAGCAGGAGCGGGAGCGGGAGCGACGCCATCGGCGATGGCCGGCGTTAAAACGACAGTGACCTCGTTGGAGTCAGCCACGCCTACGTCTCCTCCGCTGGCTAGCACATCCGCTGCCGCTGCTGCCGCACTGGCGGCCGAGGCCGAGGCGGAGGCAGAGTTAGCTGGCGCAGCCGCCATGTTTGTGCCCCACCATGATGCCATCATTGTAACGCCGGCCACGCCCATGGCCTCGCCAGGTCACGTGGCCAAGCTGCGGCGCCCGGGGCCGGAGGAGCTGCTCGAGGCGTCGGCGGAGCGCCAGCCCCTGACCGCCGGTGAGGTTGACGACGAGGAGGAGCCAATGCATCCGCCGCCCGGACAGCTGGAGCGCAAGTGTAGTGTGTACCGCATGCGCAGGAGTGACGCCTTTGAGCAGGACACCGGAAGCGGCCTCAAGCGGCAGCTGCGGGAGCTGCAGTTCAGCAGCGGCGGCCAGCAGACGCAGTATGAGCCGCTGCTCGCCGACGAGCCCCAGTTGCTCTTCAAGGGATTGGGGGCCAACGGACGGAAGCTACAGATCTGCGCCTACTGCGAGGAGGGCATCTGCATGTGCGAGCATCTCGAGGTAATTCCGGGCCGATCCTGGCCATCCCTACTTCCCGATGTTGACCACGTTCCCAACCTCTGAATTGGGGGTTAGCTTGTTTACTATATGTGTTTTGTGCATGATTGAAAATTGTATATTTCATGTGTGTGATTGGGAGTCTCTCAGTGTTCCATGGTTGTATAATAAGGTATATGCCAAGGATCGTTATTTCTTGGACTTATTTAAAGAGACTTAAGTTTAGAAATATAAGTATCCATCAGTAAGTATTATGCCTTTAAGTTCTTAAAAGTAAAACATTTGTAAGGCAATCAATATTAATTTTATGGAAATAAGCCTGAGACTTAAGAAAAGACATTACAGTCCCTTATAAGTTTGTTTAATCAGTGAGAATATTATCTAATTTCGTAATCATTTATGAAAGTAAGTCTTGTACGTATTCAGCTATATATTTCCTTTTCCCCACTATCTTTCATAAAATATGTAGGTATTAGATATGTATTTGTATTTTATGTACATATGTCTTATGAATTTCTTTAGCCAAAAGTGCCTCTACATTTCTTGTTTCGCTTACAAATATTTTTGATAAACCAAGATATTGGTTGATGCTCAGTTTTCTAACGACTAAAAACATATTTATATTCTTGAATAGCTAAACTTTCTTAAGAATGGAAACTTTACAAACCATTATTCAATGTTCTCTCTTACTTGTGATTTATGAAAATATGCAAAGTAGTTATTTCTTTATAATGTAATAATAATATTCTCTGGGAATAAGAAACAGTATTTATAAAAATAATCGAATTTCAATTTTATATTTGGAAAAATGTTACTTCATACCTTTAAAAGGTGTTTCTAAGGGACAGGCAGGGACACTTTCTGTTGTGTCAAGAGCTACAAATACACCCACACATTCGTTCGAATGGCATCTGTAATAAGGGCAAGTTGCTGTTGGCAGGAGTCAGCCGGCTCGATATGGTCGGGGCACTTTCCCTGCGACTAGCCCCATTTCGAGGCGATGCCATAACGGCGCAGCGACAAGGAAATGCCAGAGAAGCAAGTGCAGGCATAACGAAAATCCGAGAATCGGAAGCGCATAATGTGCCTTTGTATCGGCCTGATAATGCGCCGCCCGAAAAAGCTTGGCAGCCAGAGGCCGCCCCCATCGACTGGCGCCGCTTGCCAAATGTTGTGTAAAAGGCTAATGGCAACACGGAATGTGTGTCATAAAAATGCAAGATGGCGGCGGTGGGGCAGAGCGCCTTTAAGCCGCCTCTTTAAGCTGCCACAGACACTCGTAATGCGGCTCACGATCCAGTTAATGAGCCCTGGATGAGGGGCGGTAAATTAAAAAACTTAGCGCTGCGCTATTATTTGGCTTGCATAAGCAGCGAATCAACTATGGCATTATATAAGTCTTCATGCGAAATAAAACACAAAACTTGCACAAAATGAAACAGAACGTGGCCAAAGCGGAATCTCTCTTCAAGACGCAGCGCAGTCCACAGAGAAGTTTTGCAGCGAAGCGAGAACACTTCTCGAGTCGACACCATGATTCTCATTAGGGAAAGTCCAGCCAGCATTTTCTCGACTAAAAGTCAAGTAATTAACTTTAGTAACACCAGAACTTAGTATGTGATTTAAATAATCGAATATTTCCCACCATTTCCCATCAATAACTTAATAAGTTATGAGTTAGAAATGGTAGCTTTATTGCCTTATTAGAGTTTTTAATCCTTTATGCATGTCTCGACTACGTAAGGATAATCGTTACGTTGCCGGTCCAGTGGCAGAGCTTACATCCACAATACCTCCGAGTACCCCTTGTTCTCGGCCAGGATTGTTGGAGGAAAAAAGTGCTCAAAACGGAGAAAGCAAACAGCAAACGCGAATGGCGGCGGCTAAAATGTATTATATACTCAGGAACCCACGCCCGCGTCATTTCTAGTCTCCTTTCCTGCCACTCGAGTCGCTAAGAGAGACATGGATTTCAATGTGTATACGTTTCCGTGCCTATGTGTGCCTGTGCAGCCCCCGACGAGTCGTGCACAAAAACAAGAGCTAGTAAATTAGCTGGAAAATAAAGAAAAAGTATGCGGCAAAATGGCGGACGCCAGAAATGCGAAAAATATCATCATCGCCCAACGCCCACCGCCCAATGCCACCTTCCTTCCTTCCTGTGCGGCCCTCAAAAGTCGCGAAATGAGAGAGCAAAAAATAATAGTAATAAAGGTGGAATTAAACGATGCCTGCAGAGGGATCTCTGAAAGGGGGAAATTTATGAATAAACAAAATGGCGACATTGAGATAAATAACTGCATAAGCGCTGAACATTTCTGAATGCAAAAGTGATATAATTTAAGAATCAAATAACTATGTCTTGTAGAAGTTTATTCTTAGATTTGTATCTTATTTCATCACCTCAAATATATTAAATCTAAGGAATCCTTAATTATACGGCATAGCAAACGCATTCACAGAAATTCTCAACCAAGGCCAGACAATTAGATGCAATGCGAATCAGCTTTCTAGTTCAATCAGGCATTCGGGGCTTTAGCATTGCGATTTAGATTGATGAATGCAATCGCTTACGCCCAAATGAACAGAATGCCTTGATTTACAGCCCCTCGCTGGCATGCCGTCGAGGAGATGTCGTAATTTAATTTCCAATTACACGACTTGTCTGCTGCCAAAAAGTGCGAGGACGGCGGCAAGCGATTGGCGATTGTTGCTGCCTCCGAATGCAGCCTCAATAATTACTCAAACTGTCGCCCGGATCCGGCACCCGATCCACCCGGACCCACCGCCATCCCGAGGCGGGACATCCCTGTGGCCCAGTTCTTGGCGGTTGCTCGGTAATTGTTTGTCAGGCACGTCGGTCCCGAGTTGTTCTGGTAATTGCAAGTGACGTATTGCACTTGACTACCTCACTGGCCCCTCCCCAAGAGCCATGCTCCGCCGCATATAAAGTGGTAATCATCGCTCTGGCCAAAAAAGGACAAGACCAGACCAATGACAGTTCCTTGTTTATTGCATACTCTGTCTCGGCTTCATTGAATTATTGTTGCATAATTCATTCGGTCGAAGAGTAACTCTTCTCGTTTATTACAAAGCCGCATTTAAATTCATTTTCGATTTGGCTCGTTCTCTTCCTCCCCTGCCAGCCAATATTTATCTTCTATATTTGGCCAACCAGAGTGTGTGTGTGTGTGTGTGTGTGTGTGTGTCTGAGTAGGATTGTTGTTGACGCTGCTGCCATCGCATCGACAATAAAAATCATTTAAAAAGACACAAATTATTCTGTGTCCTGGGTCCGTTTCGAAATGGCTCTGACAGTTTTATGGAGGCGCAATCCCAGAGATGCACTTTAGACCACAAAGGAGAAGAGAGGAAAACCTCAGTTTTCAGAAGGATAAATGCAATGATTAAAGTTATGACTAGTTTTGTTTTCAAACAGTTGACACTCAACTATAAATGTACCCCCAATTGGCCACCGATTAGGCCGGCTAACGCGTTTAAATAGCCCAATAAGTTCTGCTAAATTACCGCTGGTTAGCGGTTAGCCTTCGAAATTCATCGGGAAAGCCGCCACTGAGCACAACCGTGAACAACCGAGGCACACACCGTCGCCACGACGGCTGTCAACAATCAAATAACACGACTCTCGACGAGGACAGTTGCCTTTTCTCACGGCATATGCCATTTGCCATATGCAAATTCTCCGTCGGGGGGCGCCACTCGCCTTTAATTACCTGTAGACAAGGCGCCCGCCGAGAGACCCTTTGCCAGGTGAACAAGTCAGCGGGCGTCGTGCCAAAAATTGGACAGCGGGGAGGAGATCGCAGCGGGGCCTTTGCAATTCACATTAATTAACCCGAGATATATGCACTCACCGCTGTCACCTGAGCAACAGTCGATGGGTGATGGGGGGACTATGTGCCTGGTTCGTATTAGCCACGTTATTGATTCGCCAGCAGCGAGAAATCTCGACAACGTGTCGCTACGTTTAAATGTGAAGGTTGAAATACCATAAGTTCCTGCAATATAATGTTCCACGAAAGGTTAAAAGTAGTAGCGCCTGCAGTGCGCCTTTCTTAATCAGATTAACTTAACTTTAAAGAAAACTGTTATATTGCAGTAAACTTAAACTTAAACTATTCTCTTTTTAAAGCATATTCAGTTTGAAACCTCTGACTGGTTTGATTGATTAAAAGGATATTTTATGTAAGGGAAAAAGGAATCTTTTATTGTGCTGCTGATGGAATTGAAGTGCCCTTGGGATAAATCCTTTAAATATCCGCTTAATGGTTACTGCAAGCAGAGCTGCATAAATTTTCATATAATGCACTCGACACAATTGGCCGTAGAATGCATGGCACCCAGCAGACAATTTCTCACAAAAGAATGGGGCAATTCCGTGTTAATGAAATTTGCAGCAAAACGTCATATATTATTTCCACTCATCCGGTTCCCCTTGGCCCTTTTCTACATTCCTTTCTGTTTTTTTCTATATGTATATGTCTCTTTGGCGAAATCGTGGCGCACAAATTAATTTTCATACTATAGTTTTATGCGCTTATGTTGTCAGCAGGACATTGTTGCTGCCGCTGCTGCTGCTGCTGGGGAATAGCTGCCAAATAGCAACATGTGTAGTTTCGCACACAGCTGCACAACGCACACACACAGTCAGCATGGATGAGGATGCAGTGTGCCTGTGTGTGCGTGCGTCTGTGTTTAATTGCGAAAATGTAGCAATCTTTTAGGCGTTACATCCAGTCAGCGACAGAGTCAGACAGCGAGCTTTTGTTATGTCAGCCAAGCGCCACTGCGTGTGTGCCATGTTTTTGTACTCTACAGCATCGGTCGTCATACGTCGCGAGGACTTACAGATATGTTGCTAAAAATAGCATTCACCAAATTGAATAAATTCCTTTTAAAGAGTACGAGTGTATATAGAAATAATAAAATATGAAATGCGTCTTTAAATATTCCTGCCAAGTTGGCTCACAAGTCAGATGTGATTTAAGTTCGAGTTCCTTTATAAGTGCAAAAAGTGCTTTTGAGTTTCTTAATCATCAGTTAATTTAACTAATTGTAGGCATTTCTTCTATAAGGAAAAGCCTTATATAAACCAGTACAATTATTAAAAAAAAGAAATCTTTTTACATATATGTGAGAATGATATTTTTGGTTTTCTTTTTTCAAATGACCACAGCTGAATGCGAATGTATAAACTGTGTGTGTTTCCTACGACTGCAGGCGTGTGTGGCTTTTGCATGAATCTGTATTTCATTAAAATTTCATCTGCATCGTTCAACGAGTGACTTTTTCCGCTTTGCGCTGTTGAATTATTGAAATTTTCGGTTCGCAGTTGCCAGTTTTGCTTAGGTCGCTGTTCCACTTGCCTAACAAAGGCTTCCCCGATGCAGCGCGGCCTCCTCTGCAGCATTTGCATATGAATTCGAATTCCAGCAGCTGCAGCCCGGAGCCGCCTTTCCGTAACTTTTGCACGGCCTTCCTCCATCCACCATCTCGGTGAGCAGTGCCTGCCCTAGCCTGGCCCGGACTCTCATCCCTCCATGGCATTTGAATTATGGCATTGCAGGGCAGCAACATGGCTTATATGCCATAAATATTTTCTATGTTTGCATTACTCACCAGATTTTTGCAAGTGATTTGCAACGGCCTGGAAACTGTGCACTCGACTTGTCTTAACTTTCTGGTCTTCAGAGGCGAGGGCCACAATTGATTCAAGTCGAAGATCTGAGTGCGTACAAGAGGAGCAATCTTCATAAATGAATAATTTGGTTTATTGACATGGGTCGTGGTTTGTTAGAGTATTATTCATGGGGCATGTGGCGCTCAAATCACTCACGTTATAACCAATTGAAACAAAACACAGCTATGAAATACATTCAATAAATAACATGCTGATCCATAACAGCAATTTCTGTATAAAAGTAAATCAATCAACAATAAACAATAAACAAACGTTCGCGATAAAGTCAAAATGAAATATAAATAAATAAATCAAATATTTAATAATGCGGCCTTTGAATTCGAGCTTTACATATGCGCAAGTTAATAATGAAAAAAGTGAAAATGTAATGATATACCTACTGATTGCGTAACCATATCGGGAAAAATAATTATTTTCATATCCAACAGCAAGGTTTAAGTCGAGCAGCGAAGGACACAACAGTTACTATAATCGTGCTATACAAAAAAAGGATAAAACTATCCGTAGTCGTCAAATGGGAAACTGCAACATATGTGATATAAACTAATTAAAACCAACATTCAAGTATATTCTAAATCAACGTTAATTAAACTAATACGGAGAGTGGCAGCAGAGAACTGGCAACGATAAATCAAAATGAGAATATATTGTGTGGGCTTGACTTTTATATAGTTATTACAATGACATTCAGTGCTACAAAAACGACAAAAACGACGAAAAGCAGAAACTAAATCAACAAGAAAGCTTTAAATATATTTTCTACTTAATAAAACTTAAATTAATTGCACCAAATGTGATCGAACCGAAATAATTTATTGAGCAACCAGATACGAGTTACTTCAACAATAAATTCTACAACACATTGCCTTCTCTCATCGTAGCCTAAACGAAACGAACACTAAAAGTCAACTACATAGACGTAGCAACTATCGTTAATTATTAGCCATAACTGCAATCCGAATAAGCAATTAGCCGAGTGAATGAAAACCCAGCTCGAACATTTTCTACGTGCAAAGTATTATGATAAGAATAGGCAATGCATAGACTAAGGCGATCGGTCCGAGCATACATTCACGTCGCAGTGCGCTAACATTTGTGCCGCGCTAACGTCAACGTCGATTCATAGATATTAATAAATGTTTATAGCTTTCAATGCCAAAATTCAAACGAAAATGAAATCGCCAACGAATACAATGCTGCATAACGTCAACGTTACGTAGCAACACGCCGAGCGTTGCGTTACGCTACGCTTCGTAACAGAGATCCGTTAGAGCCAATCGAGGATCCGCTCCACACACTAAAACACACCAACAAAACACCAATCTCCGATAACCCACTATCGCCTATCGATTGCCAATCGACGCAACTCGCCGAAAGCCGTTAATGAATCGCCACTGGCGGTACTCGCGCTCACAACTTCGTCGTCAACGAGAAACGCAGCAGCAGCGCCGCAGGACGATACATCAGCAGCGCAGCCAGAAGCACCATCGCTGGAAAGCCACCAATAACAATAACAGCAAAAACTACAACAACACTATCAACACCGACATCAACAACAACAAATACAACAACAACAACAACGAATTAACGGAGCTAAAACAAGCAGCCGACCACTGGCGATCAACGCAGCCCATCCTCAGCCCGCCACTCAGTTGCGCCAGCTCACAGGGCTGACGCAGCTTCCCAACTACGCTACAGCTACAGCTACAGCTACAGAAAACCCAAGAACCACCACAAGAACTACAGCACCACACATAGAAATCTGTTTAAAAATATTACTCTTTGCTTCTATTTCTATAACTCCTCCTCTTTGTGCCTATCGAAACTGTGCGCTCAGTACGTTCTCGTAGTTGTTGAGAAGGTTGAGAAAGTATCGACTCACGTGACTCTTTCAGCATGGACGTTGACTTTATTAAGCTCCTAAACGTAACCTGTGTCATCCCATTGATTTCGAACTGTTAATTAATTACCACAATCCGACTATTCCCACGCAACCTTGAAACCAACGGATACGTACCTACTGACGTGACGTATACGCACCGTTGAACGGAACAAACAAGCAAAAAAAAAAAAAAAAAAGAACAACTAAAACCGTAAACAAAAAGAAAAAAAACAACACCAAGATGCAGGCCGCATTGATGCTAAGATCGAAATCTCGGGTGGCGAGAAGAAGAAAGCTACGAAAATTAGGTGGAAGACTTGAGTTGCCTAGTAATGTAGCAACTAAAGAAATAGCTCCATTTCCTCGTTATCCACCTGAGTCATGGGTAATAATATAAAATACCAACCAAATACCAAATTAAATTTAAACCACATTCTTTCAATCTCTCTCTGTCTCCTTCTGAACTGAAGAGCTCAGCCCCCACAAAGAACATAAAGTGCGAAAATGCAGTAAAGCAATAGTTTAAACTTGACCCCTTAAGAACGCAAACTAAAAGCAAAGAGCGCTAATTTCCAATAAGTCGACAAATGAATACCATCAGCTAAAATGAAATTTTAATTTCTACCCCCAATCCCACCTGACAACCCCAGCCCCTTCTTCACTATCCGACTATCTTTCCAATCTGTACTTCTCTCCCCCTATCTATCTCTACGTTTCCACCTTTCTCTATTAGAGTCTCCATCTCTTTTCGAGCCCAAGACACAAACTCTATTTTGATTTAAGAAACGCCCCCAGAATTAACTTCTTACCAACAGAGCATACGTTTCCTTAAGTAGTGTGGCAACTCTATAATAGGATTAATAGAATTCAATTTTCCATCTCTTTACTGGATCTTGCAGTTTAACTAGCGTGTGCCCAACTATCCCCGAATCTAGAACATAGAGCCGCTTTGGAACGTATCTTACTATTAACTGTTAACTCAGTAGAAGTTTTATAATATGCGATATGACTATAGATACTATTCCTTTCAACTCTAAGAGCTCTGCCAGCCAATAACTAAATGCGCTGTACAACTAGCTTAACCACCTTTATTAAATTCTCAGCAAACTATTAGTGCTTTTGCTCAACTCTACTTCTATATATCTCTCTCTATATATATAGCTATCTAACTATCCAACTATCCAACTATCTATCTATCTGTCTGTCTAGCTCTCTGCCTCTTCTGCCTTCTGTCTCTATCCCACTAAATGTAACTCTCTATAAACGCTCTAACCAATAACTAACTCTCTGTCTGTCACCCAGTCCCACACTTAGCTTCAACTGTAGTTGAAACATTGCACAGACCACAACTACCAAGTCCACCCACCCCACAACCGAACCTATCGCCAACAGTGCACTTGCTTTAACTCTATGTAACGTATAAATAAGAATCAGTATAATCCAAGACGTGTGTAGATCTTCACCCACAGTACCAACCACTACCAATTCAAACATATCCAATGCGCTCTTCCCCAATCACACGCTGCACCCTGTTAAACTAGTCGAGTAGTACTCAAAAGTATCCAAAGCAAGTGCTTCTAACTATATACCACTAAACCAAACTCAGATAAAGCAAACCAAAAACGAGCTATGAAATATCAAATACAAATTACCCACATAACAAATATATAAAGCACATCAACCGATCTATAATTTTCAACACATTTATGCTTTTTTTGATTAGAGTAAAACTTCGTTGACCCTCCTTTCGTTAAGGGAAACAACTTTCGTTAAGCTAGTTTTTTCCCTTAATCCGGAGGTTAAGCTAAGCGAAAGTATACGAGGTTTCACCACATAAATACACCGATTTTGTATGTTCAGTTTGAAGGATTTGCTTCATGGATCTCTGTTTTAAAAGGGTCCACGGATCAAAATGATTATACATAGATTATAGTTTCGCTAAAGACACGCTGTAGAACAACACATTACCTACTTACTCTCACTCAACTCTATCTCTGTCGCTCACTATCATTCCTTTGGATACTCTTTTGCTTTCGTCCTATAACTTTCTCCTATTGAAAATACATACATATGTCCCACGCCACACATCACTCGAAAATTATTATGTGTCTTATGTCTTAAATTTTTCGGTTCACAACTTGCGCCTCCGTCAATGTAATTGCTAATTCCTTACCAATACGTTGTCGTCCACCATTTGCGTAACTAGAAAAACACATACGTGACAACTCCAGTGGCGCCGCCGCAGCCGCCTCCGCCACCGCCGGAAGTAAGTGTCGAAGCATCCATTTTGAAACCATACATTTGCATACGTAACTACTTGAGTTACACAACCAGAAACCAAATTACAAAAATCAAACTTTTTTCGTTCTGTCGTTTGTTCATCACGTGAAAGCCTCTCCCGTGTTTCTTCTTTGTTTAAGTGTAACGTAATGATCACCTGCGTGATTGCCACAATGCAATTGCGCTGTGCCGCTTACGTTGCCATGTTGCAGTTGGTTGTAAACTTAAAGTACAATGAAAATGCTTGTAAATAATTCCCTTGCTTTGCATTTGATCTCTCGTTCCTCCCCTCCCTCCGCCTTTACTATTTTTCTCTTTTTATTCCCTTTTTTAAATCGCAATCCCCTTCGTTTTCCCTTTAAAAGGTCTCCTTTCCACTTCCCGCTTATTAAGTTTCGTAGTACGCCCAGTAAGCATTTGCACATGAAATATTAAAAATATTTTCTTGGTGTGCATCGGTGTGTTTTTTGGCCCGCTGCTTAGGCACAGCATTGAGCATTATGCCAAAGCCAATAAAATATTTTAAATATTTTATTAACTGCAAAGCAGGGCCAGCGAAGGAAAAGGATCCTGCCGACACAAAAAAAGATTGCATTGAATATTTACAAGCATTTTCATTGCTTTGATTTGAACGACCCCTCCATACCATTTTGTGTAGAGAGTGAGCGGCGACTGTGCTGCATAAACTGCCAGCTGAACTTGAGCAAACGTGCGAAACAAGTGCCCAGCCCAGCCCATCCACATCATACATCATGCATGGGCAGCGAAGGAGTGCCTACGAAATGGACTAACCTAACCCTGGCTTTAATAACATTTGCCATTTGTTGAGCTCGCCCCCACGTTGGGCGCCATTTTGGGGCAAAGTCAATCGTAAATTAACGCAATTATTTTCGCATGTACATTTCGAGCGGTTTAATTAACATACCATCGGGGATGTGATTAGCATAAATCAGTTGGGGAAACTCAACAAGTTTTTGGCAGCCGCAAATTCAACTCAATTTACATAGAAAATCCATTTTGTGGGCTCTCCCTCCATCCCCACCAAAATACATACATACATAATATATATCAATTAGCAATGAGTTTGGCAATTTTTCAGTTCGTTTTTTACTCGTTTCGTTGGCTTTAGTTTTTAATTTGTAGTCATCAAGAAACAAAAACAAAAAAAAAGAACAACAGACATATGAAACAATCAAACGATAAACCAAAAGAAAGTATGCAACATTAACTAACAACCAAAAACAGACCACCCAAATGCAAAAACAACAAACAAATCTAAACAAAACAAAACACAACAATCAATCAAACGCCAAACAAAAAACACTCAAGAAAAATGCATTAATATAAAATAAACAAAATGGTATCAAGTTTTCCCAAAAGATTCTGTAAAGCTTACTTGCCTCTCATTCCCGTTTTCGATCTAGGAGCTCAACTTGATTCAATTGCGAAATTTGTTCCACAAAGTCAAACCAATCAAGAAGAAAACAAAAAACGCTTTGCAAAAAATACACACTACCATTGTGTTGAAAAAGAAATTCAATTGAATGTTTTACAAAAACGGCAAAATGAAAATGAAAAAATGTTCCCTTTGACAATGCCGATTCAGTCGAGCCGGCTGCCAAAGTGAAAACTTTGCCTCAAATTGAAATGCACATTTTAATTTCGGCCCGAAACCATTTTTTTGTGGAACATTCACATGTTGAAGCAAGCGCTTAAAACTAAAACAATAACAACAAGAGAATACAAAACAAATAAGGCAGTACGGCAGCAAAAAAAAAAAAAAAAAAAAAAATGAAAAAAGAACAGAGTAAATACCAAGGAGTGTATACAATACAATTTTTGGCTGTGAGTTGAAAGGTTTTTCTGGGTGGGAAAATTGTTGCTCCCTTAGATTTTGGTTCTGTAAGTTCTGTTACAAATACATTTCCAGCGACCTGGGTAAGTCAGAGTTGGCGTGTTATCTATACCAAATATGTAATATATAAATAAAGCGTAAGGAAATTGTTTTTCGTAGTTTAGAAAGCCTTTCAATTTAGCTAAATATGCCGGCCAAATACCCAAATACCGAATATGACCATCATAATACGATAATAAAAAAAAGCCTAACCCACCAAGCCAATTAAGCGCATTTGATCATACCAGAAGGATTCATACAAACTTGATTATAATTATTTGCTGCCAAAATATGAGCAATTTTATATATACATATTCTATGCATACTTTTGGGGCAGACGAGGGCTTGAAAAGAAATTCGAGTCCCTTAAAAGTATGCCCCATGGTGTCAGGGTCTACATTGCCAACTCATTTCGTTTCAATTATATTTTGATTTGTTTTTATTATCTATGTCGACACACGTGGCACTTTTCTGGGAATATAGATATTTTCGCTGTCCGCTTCAATCGTCGCTTTCAACATTTATTTAGCCTTAACCGTAAGACCTTCTTCTTCTTTTCGATAACACACACGGGACAAACTGTCTATGGTTTGTGTCCTCGATCCTTTCCGTTACTTCTCCGCTCTTCTACTTACTCAATGCGAAGCACGCACCACATTTACGAAATGACCACTCGAGAAACCACACCGCCACACACACAAACACACACACACACCACCCCGTACTCCTTTAAAACACTTATTTTTCGAATAATTTCTTTCAAACGCAGGTGCGCGACATTCAATTGCAAAATGTATCATGCTCTGTCTCTTTCACCCAAAAGAAATCCGCCCAAAAGTATGCAACGCTTGCTAAATGAATTCAAATGATAAGACTCAGATCGTCCAATTAGGTACAGTCTAAAAATGGAAAGGATTCAAATTACTGTCATCTCTCCTCCTAATATTGGTGTCTAAAATTGTAACCACAATGCTCTCTCTTTGTCTCTCATTTAAACAATGTATCTCT